TGACGCCACGTTTTCGTGGCTCTTGGCAACGGTTTTCATTGGTGTTTACGGCGTTCTCAGGTTTGCAGGCGCAGCAATCACCCGCCTAGGTTTTTGAGGATTTTGGAGATTTACAGATGCATGTAATGTGTTCATCATGGTGACGACTTATTATTCAAGCAACCATGGGTCTGAGAATAATGATTCTGCAGTTGTCTGTTTCGTGGCTCTTGGGAAGGGCTTTCATCGGTCTGTACGGCTTTTCGGGCTTCCACGAGGGTGGCAATTTGAGGGTTTTGGTTTTGTGGTTTTGCAGATGGATGCAACGTCATGGTTAGGATTCTATGGTTCAAGCAACCATGGGTCTGATGATAATGACGCTGTAGTTGCACGTGCGTCATCATCCCCCCCCCAACAAATTGCGCTCGACATGTGTATGTGTGTATGTGTGTGTGTGTGTATGTAATATTATATATTATATTAGATTATATTATATTAGATTATATTATATTATATTATATTATATTATATATATATATGTGTGTGTGTGTAACCCCTTCCGTAGCCTGATAGTCGTTCTTGTCGCTGCTTCTCGCTGGCGAGGCAAAGGCCACCTTTGTTGCAAAGCTCGAATCCACGGCTCATCTTTACGCTACCAGCCCTTCCGTAAAACCCCATGAACATCGCTCTGCATAGCCGCATCTCTATAATACTGCATAAACAAATAAATGAAGATCTAAACCAACCAGATGCCACCAGCGACGTAGGATTGAGTGTCGACTGCCCGGCCACGGGCGAGCAACTGGTAGTGTGCTGGCCCGGTCGTCATGTTGAAAGCTCCCGGGTAGATCAGCACCTCTCAACACACGTCTGCATCACATCGCAGCCAAGCGCATCCGTTACCCGACGAGCTCTGTAGCGTTGCGGATATAGGGGCACACATCCCCAAACCAGAGGAGAAGCGAGGCCAGAGAATCTCAGGCCACAGAAAGCAAAAGACGGAAGCAAAGACAAGGAGCTTCGGTTCAACAGTCAGTCGTGTGCCTTCATTTTGCATAGAAACACCAAGTGCCTTCGAAGATATTGACCAAGGGCTTCCTTTGAACATCTTTCGTGAAAGCGACGAACAAGTTTTGTAGCAGCGGCTTTACATAGATGCAGCACATTGAAGTTCTTGGTGATCCGAGTGCTGTTGTAAGTTGTCTGAACTTACTTTAAGACCGGGGTAGGGCGTGCCGACATGCTTCGTTTTGTAATCAAGTCGGCACGATTCCGGTCTGCGATTGGAAACCCTCTCGGTTGGTGGCACCGTGGGCCCTCTCTCGTTTCAAAGCGGTTTCGGCACGAGTTCGCTTCGCCAAAAAGCTGGTGCCCGCACGATTGTGCTTCACGAATGCTCAGACAAGGTCTTCGCCCGCAAGGGGGCGTCGCGCGTTTCTTTTCGATTTTGTTACGTGCAACTACTACGTAAATGTGGCAACCTTCTGGGTAGACAGGGCGTCGTTCGACAGCTTTGGGTACGTGCCTGCCTACCCTCTCGGTGCACGTGCATCGTATTCTGGTGATGTGAAAAGACAGTCAGCGAAAACTATGCCGATGCTCATGCTGCCATGCTGATGATGCCGATGATGAAGCAGACGCTGTCATCGGTGGGTTCCTTCTCTGAAAGTTTCACTGTCTACAAATGTTTTGAGACATCGTGTACTGGTCTTGAGATCAGAAGCATGCACCGTCAGGTCTGGAAGTCAGTGGTTTGCCGTTTTTCGGCTTTTGCAGCAGATCCCCCTAGTCTGGATCTTGAGATCTTCTGGCGGCAGCACCGTGGCTAGTGGATGCTTCAAGCACTCTATGGCAATAGTGACGAGTAGAAGAATAAAAATGACGCTCACAATATCCGGCAAGAATAAGACTGCCAACTACTAGGCATAAACGTAAAGATCAACATGGATGACGGGTGACCATGCTAAACTGCGGGGAAACAGACCATTGAAACCTTCGACCCCCCGGCCTTGGCCCCCTGGGCGCGCATGGCCAGAGCCAGCTCCGGGAAGCGGGCGTCGTAGCAGATTCCCACGCCTTCCGAAGTGCTGCCGGCTCACACCCTACCCTAAAAACCTAATGCCATCTTGAAACGGTTTAGGGTTTCGACTCTCACACTGTTTAGGGTTTAGGGTTTAGGGTCACAACCCTAAACCCTGCGGTTGAGGGTTGAGGGACCTGCACGACACCAGGGGAGATCGACGAGAGTCATCGTCTCTCCCGCCGAGAGAACGTCTGACTCCTGTCTGCAGGTCGTGGCAGTAACAGCCAACCTTGCAAATTCCATCGACCCACTGACCCACACTCATGCGGAATGCATCACCTATCTGCTTGCTCACATGACATCTCCGTCTCGTCCGGAGCTCATGTGGAACTTTCTTCACACACAGACTGAAGACGAAGAGCTCAAAGCTCCTTGAACTTCATGGCGGGCCTTGGAACTGCAATGCATTCCTGGCCTTTTGTCGTTCTGTGTCCTTCAGACTTCCGGCCAACTAAGATCGCATCCGCGATGCAGTCGCAGCCACATCTATGTCGAAGAGGTGCACTTTCCGATGCTTTGCAACCTCAGCTGAGAGCAGTCGGAGCTCTGACGGATCGGAAACCTGTCAGGCTTGAGTCCAGGGCAATCCCGCCGGACGGATTCAGCACCAAGCAGGTGTTGTAGATCTTATCCTCCTGACGGGACATCTCCCAGGCATCCGTTTTGTGCATCCCTTCTGAACGGGAACTGCAAGCGAGCCACGTGTAGCTCTGGGAGTGAGCCGCCCACGATCCAGATCTTCAGTTCTCGAGCCTCGCTGAATCTTTGCGGAAACGTATGCTAATCAGAATGACACGAGACTGTGCTGCAGCAAACAATTAAAAAATCATACTACATGACAGTCTATCTATGCATCCATCCAATTGCACATACATACATACGTACATACATGCATGCATACATACATGCATACCAACATCTATACAAACATACAAACATACATACACACATACACGCAAATATACATACATAAATACATACATACATACATACATACATACATAGATACATACATACACATACATACATGTACGTACACGTGTATATATATATATATATGTGTGTGTATGTATGTATGTTTGTATGTATGTACGTACGTACGTACGTACGTACGTATGTATGTATGTATGTATGTAAACATGTATGTATGTATGTACAAGTTTATTTACACGTACATGTACATGTACGTGTACATGTACGTGTGTGCGTGTATGTAAATGTACATGTACAGTTACGTGTAGATATGTGTAGATGTAGATGTACATTTACGTGTACATGCACGTAGCGCGGTAGATGTCAATAGATAGATACAAGCAAGCGGTTGGACATGCTGCACGCAAGCTTACACATTCTGCACAAGTAATGAAACAGAATCGTGGACAAACGGGCCATTGGACATAGTGCACCAAACTTTACACATGTATACATACATACATACGTACATACATACCTACATACAAACATGCATACATAAATACATACATTCATGTTTATTCTTATATAAATATATATTTACATAGAGATTCTCAGATATGTATACACATGTGTATACATACATGCAAATATTGATATATATATATATATATATATATATTTATGTTTATTTATTTATTTATCTATATTTATTTATTTACTTATTTACTTTTTTTCTACCTGTGCATGTATACACATACACAGACAGACACACATGCACCGACCTATATACATGCATGCATACACGCATACATAAGGCTGTGTTTCAGCACTTGTTGCTTCATCCATTCAATACTTCAAGTATGTCGGCTTCAATTTGTGATTGTCAGCGTTCCTGCTACAATCGTCCACAGTACTATCATATGGTGAAATGTAATGACACGTATTTTTGCGCATACAGAGATATGTGTAAATGTACGTGTGTATAAATGTTATGTGTGTATGAATATATATATATATATGTATACACACAAACAGGTAAAGGGGCGGGTAAAGGGTGGATGGATGGGAGGGACTGATGGATGGATAGATGGGATGGGGCAACGTCGGGCAAGGCACCAGCTCGCAGAGGAGCTTCACGCTGGGGCTCGAATCATCCGCCATCTGTCCTGTCAAGGCTCAGGGAACTCCAGGATTTCGCGCCGCAACAGCAAGACGGATCTCTTTTTTCGGCATTTTTTGTTCGGGCTCAATTGCTTTGAGTCTCACGCTGCCTGATTCGTCAGACTGGCTCTTAGGCCAGCAATGCTATATACAGGCAAAAGCAACGCTGAAGATGGACTGAGCTCCGCTCAAGCCCATTCATCAGGATGCCACAGCATTCAGCGAAGAGCTTCAATTGAAGCTTGCGGCAGCTGTGCTGTCATGGGCAGCTACAAAAGATGTAGATCAATGTGCTGTTGCTAGGTTGGTCGAGGTTGGCAAGTCCTTCAAACAACCGTGCTGCTTGTACTGGTGTGGTTGAACATCTTCTTTCGGTGCCTGCACTAGAACACGGCAACTACTAGATGCATAGACTGACTGTAAACTTGCAGACTTGCTTCAGCCTGTATCGACCAGACTGTGTTTTAGCGGCTGTCTGAGGACGAGCCTGCGGATTCAAGATACAGCAGGTTCACGGATGTGTTGCCTCTCGACACGAGGGCCTCACCAATCAAGGGCGACATGCTTGCCATTGGCATCGAAAGGCTTGGACTTGCCCATGACCTTGGCAGCCTTCACCCCGGCCTCCTCGACCGCCTTCCGAGATGCAGTTTGGAGAGCCTTGACGTACTCCTCCGGTGCTGGCAGCTTCACCTCCACCGTGCCATCCGTCACACGTGTCCGGAAAGTGGAGAGGTTCAGGTCCGGGCTGGTGATGCCACATCCCGTTCTCAAGTCATAGACTGTCTTGTACACTGGATCAGCAACTGTGATTGCGCCACTGGCTGGCTC